AAAAAAGTGTGTAAATTGTTTTGTTGATAAACTTTATTTACATTATCCTACATGTTATTAAACATAAGCTCGACTTAAACAAAAGACAAAATAAAGTACAGTTGAAGTAAAACAACATGTAAAGCTACATGAACATGAAGACACAGTACTTGTGTATCATGCTTTTTGCGTGCGCTAGGATCATCTTTTCGAGGATAACTTTAAATGCGTTTGGTGTCTCAAAATGGATTAAGACGATGAAAGTATATTCTTAATGCAAGAAAAAAAGGAGAATTTTATTTTGTAAAAAGTGATTGTGTTGTTTCAAAATATAGATTAAAACCAAATGTGTGTTAAGATACATCCAATTTTAATGTGGATAACGAAGAGGATTTAGTTATAGCAGCTTATAATGGCAAGTTATATATATATATTAAAATGTAGTCCTCTCTTATTACTTCCTTATTCCTTGAGGGGTTTTATTTGTTATTAGGTGAATGAGAAAAAATAAAGAAAAACACACGAGGTTTGAAGACAGATTCACGTTGCAGAAGACTATTCTACCATATCGAGTGCACCGTAGTCGAATTTTTTCAAATACAACACTTTAAGATATAGTAAATGAGCACAAATGAAGAAATAACAAACATGCAATCAATATACATTCTTTTGTTGTTCATCGGAATTTCCCCTTCTTATATTATTTCAATGAATGATATTTTATTTTTGATTTGTAAAATCGAAAACATATTGTTATAATATCTAATTTCATCGCCATGAAATGTCCGAAGATCAATAAATCGATCAGATCTATTCTACTTCTATACATGAACAAAAAATATTCACACTTTTCACGTAAGACGCAGGCCTCCTCTTTCCTTCCTCGTTCATCAAAACTTACCTCGAATAGGCGATTGTCTTGCAAGAGACGGTTATTGTTTACCGTTGCCGAAACCGAAACAACTTGAATATCGCATCATCCCCTCCCCCTTTTTTTCTGCAGGGTTCGTGTCGCTCTTTTTTTCGTTTATTTACGTATTTATGTCCCTTGTTGGTATTTTTTTCATATAACCGAAATCTCATTTTTGTCTCTTGATTTCTCTTTGCAAGTAACGCGATCTTTTGTCTTTTAAAATCAATTATTGTAAGAGCACATATCTTTGATTCTATACTTAATTTATAATTATTGAATTCAATCAATTTTACCTTCGCGATCTAATCTAAGGTGAAGTGTCTGGAACTGTTAATAAATGCATTAAAATGAAACACATGTAATTCGTATCATGATGTTGTATATAGTAACAAAACTTTTATTAATAACCCACCCGCCTTTCAATCAATTCAACGCAGAAATGGGTTTTTTTGTTCAAATTTATATATAACACAATTAGAAACTGACTTAAACTTATGAAAAAAACATATGAATAAATCTAGCACCTGCGTTTATTTGATTTCAAGAGAGTACATCGGTTTGGAAAAACAAGATCAGTACGAATAAAGTGCGAATCGGACACATGATTGATTTGTTTAACCTGCGGTAACATGTTTCTTTGTACTGCTTCCTAGTACATGAAGCAAGTTCTCAATTCACTTTGTACACAGGGTGAGGTTTAGGTTATTATTCAATTTTTATATTAGCTATTTTGTCCAAGGAACAATGTGTGGCTTGCGCATCAACACTTGTTAAAACATTTACTTCAGATGAACGATTTTTTCCTAATTATAATAATAAAATTATTTTACTTGCGGTCCTTGCATTGCGGCATAATTTTATTTTTTTTCATTTTGATTCTGAAAAATGCTGAAAATGATGTGACAGGTGTGAGGAAGAAAAAGAGCAGCACGGGAGATCGATTTTTTCTCCAAATACGTACGAGAATATATCTTTTGTATACAGAAAGTCATAAAATCAACAGAAACAAAACTTACAACGAGAATTGTCAACCACAAAAAATCAATTTGAAAGGTTTTATTTAAAGAAACCTCTCGATGAGTGACGAAAGTTTTGGAAGGTGACCTTAATAAAATGATTTTGTTTAATTGTCATTAGTTCTTTTGTTGTACATATATTTCCTATGAAGAAACAAATTTTGTGAATTCATGGTTTTTTTTTCAACTGTTGAACTATTATTTACCTGTAAGAATCAATTATGCTACCTTCAGTTGTCTAAGAAAGAGGAGGGTTATTTTTAAAATATTGAACAGGTAAAGGTAACATAATGATTTTTACAGGTAAATGAGAGTCCCCTTACTGAAAAAAATAACGTGTACAACAATAGAATGACGTCATAACAATGTTTTAACTTAAGTGAGGTAACGACTTTTGTGAGATACTACTCGACAGAACTTGACATCCTGAACTTTTGTTAAGAATTCGGTTATTTCAGAAACAATATTTTTAGTCAAGAACTCGCGTTTGTCTAAAATGCAACCCATATAACATGTAAAACTCGCACAGTGATTCAAATCTTAAAGACTTTTTGAGACAGGTTTGTTTGTTGAACGGCATTCGGAGTTATTTTCGAGAGTGGAACAGTTTAAGTGTATACATTTCTTCAAGACTGGGGCTTCCTACCCGGAGGCATCAATTATGCGAGCTATTTATACCCTATTATGTTCTTCATTCATTTTCTGTCCTAAGTATGACAAATGGCTAAAGCAAGGCCTATTGAAGTTATTCCCACTACACAAATATTTCGCGCGCAGACATTAGCTGAACCATAAGCAGTCACATCCATTTGGACTGTATCAACTCCCTTGCGGTCGTATAAATGTAGTCATTGGATTACCTGTTAACGAATCTTCTGGACTACACTCACAATCACTATGTACAAGTCCTTCCTCTAGTTCGTGTAATTCTAGCATACACTGGTTCCAGCAATAATGTGGTCGTGTTCCATCTGCCATCGTACGACAAACGTGACGACTATCAGAATTCTACTACACGTAAAATATGTTTGACATGTTGAATATTGGTACTTCTTGTAGTATGGTATCTGCAATAACGCACGTAAAATTTCTGCAGGTTAAAAGACTGCATACATGAATGCAAAGATTGCTAATAACATAAACGGACCAAAAAGTATAGCCAAAGCCGGGCAAGGAATCAGAAATTTGCATGAGGGAGATATATTGCTTAATTTTAAATCATTTCCAAAGTTTTGTTACAGCAAATTTTAATAACATAAAATCCGTATTTTCATGCCAGTACCAAAGTGCAGGCTACTGGGCTGTTGATACCCTCGAGGACTATCAGTCCACCAGCAGAGGCATCGACCCAGTTGTAGTAATAACATAAACTGTACCAATTTTTCTGCACCAGATGCGCATTTCGACAATCAATGTCTCTTCAGTGATGCTCGAGGCCAAAATGTTTGAAAATCCAAAGCTTATCAAAAATATGAAGAGCTATTAACAAAAATTGACCAAAAAGTATAGCGAAAGCTGGGCAAGGAATCAGAGCTTTGCATGAGGGAGATACATTCCTTAATTTTAAATCATTTCCAAAATTTTGTTACAGCAAATTTTGATAACATAAAATCCGTATTTTCATGCCAGTACCAAAGTGCAGGCTACTGGGCTGTTGATACCCTCTGGGACTATCAGTCCACCAGCAGAGGCATCGACCCAGTGGTAGTAATAACATAAACGGTACCAATTTTTCTGCACCAGATGCGCATTTCGACAATCAATGTCTTTTCAGTGATGCTAGAGGCCAAAATGTTTGAAAATCCAAAGCTTATTAAAAATATGAAGAGCTATAAACAAAAAAGGACCAAAAAGTACAGCGAAAGCTGGGCAAGGAATCAGAGCTTTGCATGAGGGAGATACACTCCTTAATTTTAAATCATTTCCAAAATTTTGTTACAGCAAATTTTGATAACATAAAATCCGTATTTTCATGCCAGTACCTAAGAACAGGCTACTGGGATGGTGATATCCTCGGGGACTATCAGTCCACCAGCAGAGGCATCGACCATTGGTAGTTATAATATAAACGGTACCAATTTTTCAATACCAATAAAAGTATACTTTTCGACACACCTCTTATCGTCTCCATTTTCGAACTGTATTTTCTAGTTCATGCATCATCTATAAGCATAGCTTTCACTTGTACATTGGGTATGTGAAGTGAGATCTGTATTTTCATAGAAAATATTATAGCAGTATGACAGTGCAATTCATCATTGTTGATATTATCAATTACCGCTGATGTTGTGTTTTCGAATTGGTTTAAGATCTATACTTGAACAGTTCATCAGATTTTAGAAATGCCCGTTTACTAACTCCATTTATGAAATCAAGCTACAGCCTTTTTACCTGATTGATTTATAAACGCGTTGTGTATCAGTAGACGTAGTAACGATATTGAATTAGGAGAAACAAAGATCCATAATTGTTTAAGTATCCTGTAAGTACACTTTTTTCTAACTATTTCTTACTATCTTAGCTTTCAAATAATTCTGCTTTTACAAAATTTTGAAAGTTATTTCAAATTAAGGAATACATCATCTTCAGACAAAGCTTTAATTCTTTGCCATACTTTTGCTATCCTTTTTGTTCAAAAGTGTACTGTTTTATTTTAATGTTGATTTATTTATTTTTTTATAAAGGATATCGTTTTCATTATACACCCTTGCATTCTTTAGGTTATCTAAATTTTCAATCAAATTTTTTATCAGATATCGTTAAATGATTTGGTGTCAGGAGTGTTATTGAGGGAAGTGATGCACTTCTAATTTAATTTTTTTCACTTGAAGCCTCCTCGGACTTTCTTGGTGTAGGAGAAGGCGTTGGTGTGTGTTTTGTATAAGGTAAAGTGGAAACAGTGTAGTACTTGCAAGAAAACAATTTATTAACTGCTGCTTGTTCAGCAACAATAACAAAATGTTTTTATCATTTCATATAAATAAATACAAATAAAATTTCTTGGAAAAAATATATTTCAAATTGTTCATAACAAATAGGAATCGATTTTGGATCATTTTTCAACATGTATATTTGATAGTGAACGATAGTACTGTCGACAGATGTTGATTCAATACGCATCAACAAAGTTCGTATCCAACACACTTACGACTGACAAAATAAGAATATTCTGCATAATCAGTTATGTATCTTTTAATTTTGTTTTGCGTATTAACTTTTAGTGCCATTGTACATAATGAAAATGTTAAGAGGGAATCTTCTGGAAATAGTTTGCTGTGGATAATTGCCAAACAATTAGACCGACTAGAAAGCAAACTCCAGGACATGCAGAAACAATACAACAGCAGGGATGCGGAAATGGAAACGATGAAGAAAAAAATACAGTGACAAAGTAAAGGGCGCCATGGTACGTTTAGAAGAATTATTGACAAGTTTTTCAATATATGTATTTTGTAACCACATTGTACAACCGGTGTTTGTCACCGATTTATGAAGGAAGTATACTCAAATGTCTAATTTTCCCTGATTGCGGTTTAGTAATAAGATACAATTTACAATTAGTTTAAAATGAGTAGATGTAGTATGAACACTGACTTTTTTCACAGTCTTTTTCGTTATTTTATCGGTCTTTTTTTATTATCACTATTTCAAAACTTTTTTGCCATTGCTCTTTAGTACTTTTCGAGTTTCCCTCGCATTTCGATGAAGGGATTGTTAATATAAAAGTACAAAAATAAATTAATTATATTGAAATTTCCTGAACATATTTGTATTCGTGACTGTAAATGATTTTGTTTTATGCCCATTGCACTCAATTTTTGAATTCATTATATCCATGCATGATTTGTGCTAGTTCAATAAAAATAGTGTCAATTGACCAATTGACCAAATAATTCAAACTCTAACATTTTCGAGAATTTCATGTACATGGGAATCACGATTTTTTACAGAGTCATCGAATTACAAATTCTCTTAATGAATGCATGCAGCCTTTTCCAAAACAACGAAATTAAATATCCACGAAAGATTTCCTCAATCCACGAAAATTTATCGACACGAAAATAGATGAATCCACAGTACTAGATTGACAATCATACCACATCGCCTTACTTTATAAAGGAAAGTGTTTTCGATCACAGGGTCTAGCGAAAACGAAAAGAAAAAAAATTTAATAACTATCTTCCATATAAAAAGAATTGATGGAAACAATGCAAAAATTATCCTAAAATATTGTTACGATGAAAAGTCGCCTGACCGCAAGCTAATATGTGTCCATTTGCAATGGTGAAACGTTTACTTTGTTGAATTATTTTATTAGTGTATGCAGTATTTTTCATGCATTGAGAAATACAGTTTCCCCCCGCTAGTTTATATTGATTTAGTGTTAATTTGTTTTATGTTGCATCGTACTAATATCTATGTTTTGTTATTGACAGACATCAGACCAGCCTTCAGTGCTCACTTCAAAAGCAGTGGCTTTAAATTCTTAAGAAGAGGCCAGATATTAATATTTGACAAGGTCCAATTCAACGTCGGAGGAGGGTACAACCCATGGACAGGGTATTTTACAGTTCCAAGACCCGGGCTATACATTGTATCATGCAAAGTAAGATCCTATAGTAACAAAAATCTACACGTTTGGCTTAAGAAGAACAATCACCGGGTCACGTTGGGATATGGAAACAACTATAATGAAGGCAGCTTCAGCATCCCTGTACAGGTAGCAAAAGGAGATAAACTTGTCATAGAACATGGTACAGGCTCTTATGTTGTGGGCGAATCTGTACAGGGTACTATTGTTTCATTCTTCTCAGCCGTGTTTATATCGGACTAGCAACAAACAAATATCTCTATGAATTTACAAAATTGATCAAAAGAAAGATTTTCTGTCAACTAAGCCTTCAAGTTTAAACAACAATAAAAAACATACATGAATTTGTTTGTTCTGCCTTTTAAAGAAGATATAAAAATCAATTCATTTCAATGTGTTCGTATTTGTACTATTTTGATAGGCCCGATGTTAAGTGCGTCTTTTTTTTATATATATATATAATCAGCACTTTCCCGATGACATTATCCGCCCAGTAGCATAATATGCATGAATTTTCGAAGATTCGCCGCTATCTTTAACATTTGTACTAGATTTGGATATTCATTTTTTGGCCTCGAACATCACTGACGATATATTGATTTGGTGGGATTCGTCTTGCTCAGTCTAGTTTTCTATGTTGTGTTTTGTGGACTATTGTTTACCTATTTGTTATTTCATTTTTAGCTATGGATTTGTCAGCTTGTTTTCGACTTATGAGTTTCGATGTCCCTTTTGTTATCTTTCGCCTCTCTTTTAATGTTATATCTGACTCTGCAATATAAAGTTTATATGTCTATAATGTGACTCTTTAATATGGAAGGGTTTTATCTTATTGTTAAAGGCCGTACGGTGACCTATAGTTGCTGACATCTACATCATTTTTTTTCTTTTGTAGATAGTTGTTTCATTTGCATTTACATCACATCTTCTTATTTTTATACTATAGAAATCGTACATTAAGATATAATTCCGCGTATAAATAGTGCACTTAATATGACCGTTAAAAGTCCTAAAACTATTGGACGACAAACTAGAAAGATTTGACATTCGAAAGTGAACCTTATATTCTAGCAACAGAGTTAAGTGTGTAGTTATTTGTTTCAAGCATACAAAAGCTTGTTTGTCAAATGAAAAAAATCACTTCAATCGAACATAGTTGTCGAATTGTATCTCACATTCAATATTTATTATTGTGTAAAGTTTTCAGTCAATTGATCGAAGCAAACTCAAGTATATAAGTGTTCAACATGCGATGTTTTGTTATTTTATCTGACAGATAACATCCAGTAATTCAGAAACAAAATATTAGAAGAAATTCAAAATGGAAAATGATCTTTGTTTTATCAATGGTGTTAAGTTTTGTGGAAGCCAATCAAATAAAAATAAAATAAAGAATGGAAATGGGGAATGTGTCCAAGAGACAACTACCCGACGAAAGAGGACAAAACAACCGAAGGCCACCAATGGGTCTTCAACACAGCGAGAAAATCGCGCACCCGGAGGCGGACTTTAGCTGGCCTTTAAACAAAAATGTGGACGAGTTTAGTGAAAATTGACGTCATTCTAAACTCCTAAACACATAAATGAACTAAAATTAAAAAACATACAAGATTAACAAAGGCCAGAGGCTCCCGACTTGGGACAGGCGCAAAAATGCGGCAGGGTTAAACATATTTAGTGAGATCTCAACCCTCCCCCTATACCTTTAGCCAATTTAGATTAAACAGACACACAACACTACGCACAGTAAAAGAAGTCCGAGTCCGAGTCCGATGTAAGAATAGGTAACAAAAGAAACAAAGCAAAATGACAATGATACATAAATTGACAAAGCACTACTAGCAGATACTGACACGCCAGCTCCAGACCTTAATTAAACTGATTGAAAGATTTTGTCTTCATCATATGAAAATCAAGCACAATACCTCCCGTTAGGGGTTTAGTATCATACCATCATATAATATATGAGAAAAACATAACACGTATCATGCCAACAACTGGTTTTAGAATAAATGTGTTTATTTCCGATGCAAAGACCCTATGAGGAAATCAATATTAATACCAAAATATACCATCTTTAATGACCTTACAACAGTATCGTAACTGTATCCCTTCTTAATAAGTCGGTTTAAAGGTTTGGTTAACTTTTGAGGTGAATGCCGACATTTTTGTGCTTTGTAAAGAATATTACCATAAAAGATTGGATGTGAAATACCTGAACGTATAAGATGTCTGCATGTTGATTTATATTTACGAATGATGTCTTTGTATCGATGATAAAATTTAGTAAATATTTTGACTAGTTTGTGATATCAAAAACCCTGGTGTAATGATTTTTCAGTAAAACAGAGATTTCTTTTGTTCGAAATCGAAAACGTTTTACATACACGAGCGAATCAAGTTGAGATATATAAACACCATATGATGGCGACAAGGGAACGTCACCAACTGAAAAATGGAAAATTAACATTAAGAAACGATAAATCATCTCTTTTATCATAAATTTTGGTATTAAGCTTCCCGTTAAAGTTATAGATATACGATCCAGGCAAGGGCAGTGTTCATTGTAGCATACTTTATTTTTGAAATATTAAAACTCAACTAAATATATATTGCTACCAACAGTAACACATATTTATATGGCATTGTTTATAAAAGAGAGGCGAGAGATACCAGAGGGACATTCAAACTTCTAAGACGAAAACAAGCTAATAAAGTTTCCATTAGAACTTCTGTTTGGTGGAACAAATATATATTTTGACATGTGTCGGGACAGACGTAAACATATAAAATACCATAACACGATTAATCAAAAACGTATCTAAATCGATATTGTTTTAATAAAGCATTAACAATATACAGTGTTTAAATAAATAAATGGTTTCATTTGTACACGCTAAGTTCAAATGTAGAACTAACGGTTACTAGTATCGTCTTACTTGATTGCTTATTTATACCACACGAATGATCTTCCTTTGTTTCATGCTTACCATTAAACAACCACAAAAACACACGGAGGTCTTGTATATATATGATCTGAATATATTTGAAACCTATAAAGGCAATAGTAGTATACCGCTGTTTAGTAGTCATAAATCGATTCAACTGAAACAAATCCGGGTCACAAACCAAAACAGAGAGAAACATATCAACTGTAAGAGGACAAAAACCGAAACAACAGAAACACTCAACTGCTACATACATAGAAACGGACTATTTGCTAACAACTGCCATATTCCTGACTTGGTACAGGACATTTTAAGAAAAGAATGGTAGGTTGAACCTGGTTTTATGGCTAGCCAAACCTTCCGCTTATATCTCAATGTTAAAAATACCGCTAAAATGACACCATTACTTGACAGGAATACAGTACAAATAGATGCTAGAACACTTAGGACAGACAAATACATAAATAAATAGTATAATGGTACATTTCCACATGTAAACCACAGAATAACAACGAACACATAAAATTAATTTACGACAGTCATGGGGCGACCTCGTCATAACATTAATGGTAAAATAGCTTGAAATCTGTTCATATACCTATCAACAATAAATATATTCTTAATCAGCAAGACAACACCTATATGTGTTTGACTACATTTTGACAGATAATGAATCATGTCTAGCTTTTGTGTAAACACCAACTTTTTATCTAATGGAAGAAATATTTCTGCTATTAAAATACAGTCTCTGTAATCATTTTGAAGGTACACTGTAGGAACAAAAGGCAATTGTGAGCGTTTTCCTTCAATTTGGCGTAAATCGTCTGTTGTCGTCGTCCGTAAAGTTTCATAAAAATCATCTCCTTTGAAACTTTTAGGCCAAATTAAATCAAACTTAATTTAACTATTTTTTCATCTTTAGCCGATTATTTTGAATACGATTATACATGTATATGGATGTAAATTTAAAAAAAAAACAGTCAGTCGACTTCCTATTGAAGATATTATCTTTTTAAAACAACTATAGATAGATAGAAACTTTTTAAAAAAATATACGCATGGAAAGAACTACAAATAGGTCCGAATAGATGATGATATTGTCATCTGTCTTCTCGTTTGAATTTTTGCCCTTAGATTTGTAACCTTAACATAAAATGTTATCCGCAAAGTAAAATCAACAATAAAGAAATTTTAGTCATTGATTAAATTCTAGTCTACAATTCTAGAAAGTATTCATTGTTGAAGATGCACAAATACATAGGTGAGCGACATATGTTCTTTAGAGCCTCTAGTTTTGTGTGCAACATTTATTAAGGCGGAATATTATTAAAATATTTTTCTTATAGCCGTTAGTTTGGTTCAAATAAGGGCAACAGTAGTATACCGCTGTTTAAAAGTCATAAATCGATAGAGAGAAAACAAATCCGGGTTACAAACTAAAACCGAGGGAAATACATCATCTATAAGAGGAAAACAACGAAACAACAGAAACACTGAAGTGCTATAAAAAAAACAAACGACAATGTAACATACATAGAAACGAACTATTAGATAACAACTGCCATATTCCTGACTTGGTACAGGACATTTTAAGAAAAATGGTGGGTTGAACCTGGTTTTGTGGCTAGCCAAACATCACGCTTTATTGCAATGTTAAATATACCGCTAAAATGACAACATTACATGACAGGAATACAGTACAAATAAATGCAAGAACACTCAAAACTGAGAAATACATAAATAAATAATTTTCGGTACTTAAAAGACCAGACGACGTAAATGGTAAACCACAATCTAAGACGTGGTAAAAATGTCCTTAGTTAGTTTAGACACAGACACATCGTATGGATCAACTAATTCGTTATGATGTCCATAAAATTGAGGAGTGTCATTTTTAATCTTTCCTCCTCATAACTTTGTTGGAGCAGTATCTGCGTAAGGAGCACACTCCTGTATCTGACGTCCGTATAGTGTGAACATGCACGAGCATAACGTATGAACTGAGATATGTAAACACCATACGATAGGGCAGAGGGTATGGTATGTCTACCTTGTCAAAATAAGCTAAAAAAAAACATTACAAAGTCAAAAATTCAACGCCTGTGCATCCATATTCATGCAACCTTTACTTTGACCCCATATTACGTATTTGCTTATCATGTTCAGTTTTTAAAAAGAGAAAAAAATGTCAAAATTGAAAAGTGTAAAAAGCTAGGTAGCCACCAGGAAATACAATTTCGTTGACTGCATTGTTAAAAAAAGACATTCATAAACAGGTAAACCGACGATTAAATCGTCAATCTTCGGAGGTCTACTCTATGGTTAATTTGATCGGGTCTATTATCAAATACGCACGACATTCTGATACATTAAAACACGTTCATGCATTGTTCATT